AAGACAGCATTTTCCTGCCAGCTAGGAAGAGCAGTATGGCTTAGGAAAGAACGAAATATACAGCAGAGATTTAATCCTCAAATCAAATCCAGGCTGCATTTGCAGAGAGGATTGCTCCCAGTCTCCAGAAAGCAGCAGCCAGAAGAGCGTGAATGCTGCCGGGTGGGCAGCACAAGGGCGAGCAGTGTGTGTGACACATCAGAGCCAGGCAAGGCTGCACCGCCAGCCACTGCTTCTCCTGCAGGCTTGGCAAGAGGATAAAGCAAAGCCAGGCAGATTTCAGCACATCTCCCTCATCCCCTGGGACAGCAGGCTTTGTTGCTGCCTGATTTATAAAAGGAGTTTGGTGCTTTGCAACATGAGCCAAGTTCGCCCACAATAGATGATAAAAAAACCTGTAATGCCATCACCTTAATTTTTAAACCCTGTTTGGAAACAATCAATCAAACAAAAGGCATAACAAGCTTTTGAAATCTCTCCTAACTTGCATCAAGTCAACTCTTTCTTCTGTGCCAGCCCCTTGTCGTTGTCCTCCCACAGACACAAGCACCAGGTACTCTTGCTCCACCTTGCCTCTGCTTCTGCTGACCAGAGAGGCTGTGATACAGAGACTGGTCTGCACAGCAAGGACTCGCATTTCAATTTGCTGACACTTTCCCTGCCATACGAATCTACAACTCCCCATGTGCTTTTTTTCTGGGCTGGCTTGGAGACACCAAACCTTCTGCACATGCTGATGGGGCGATCAGAGACCCCTCCAAGAAAGGGTCTGCAGCAGGCACTGAGAACTGCCACGTTGCTGCACCTTTGGCACCCTTAGGGAAGACAGACCACAGTGGTAATCACAGGTGGGAAGAGAAACGAGCACAGGGACATTAAGTTCCAGCCTAACGAAATCAGCTCTCCTTTAAACCCCTTAAGAGATCAAGCCATGCTAGGACTTGACCTGTTTAGTAACAAAAGCCTTACCAGAAGACACCTAGATTGTAGTGCACAGACTCGAGCAGACTCTAAATCCAGACAGCAAAGGTATTGGGAGCAGCTGAACTCCAGAGCTGAGGCTCCATCACTGAAGGAGTCACTGCTCCCAGTGTCCTTGGGGATGATAGGGAGCAGTAAATGCTGTTCCTGCCTTCTGCACTTTTCCCAGCATTGCAGAGCCAAAAGCAGGAGGGATTAACTGCAGCACCTACCTGCTCCTCAACTAGAGCCCTATCTCTGTGGTTCAAAGCCTTGTCTTTATGGCCAGTTTATATAGCTGGGCTCTGCTACAATGAAACATTTTGCAAGGGCCACTTATTTACACCTTTCCCTTTTTGCACCTATACAAAGGATTTATCTTTCAAAGAGGAATTTAAAAAAACAAAAATAAAGAAAGGGAATGGGAATGGCACTCTCACACAGACACACACTCCCTTCCTCCTCCTCCCAGACCAGCAGCAGCCTGGTGCCAAGACGTTCACCTGGGGTGCGAGGGAGGCCGCGGTCAGCCGACGAGTGCAGAAATGGCAGTGACAGTAAACCATGCCCAGTGAAGAATGGGAGATATTACAAGGATGATAGTAAATATCTAAATGAGCCTCTGAGGAGAGAAAACAAACCAAACCATGAAATGTTCAGTAGCAGCACCATCAGCATCCAAGGGCAAGGTCTCTAACCTCTCTGCCGGGCTGTCAGGCTCAATAAAACGGACGAGAGGTGGGGAAGACAGAGTTTCAGTAGCAAAGATGCCTCCCTGGAGCTGCAGTCCGAAGCCATTCAAAGGGTCTCCCCTGAGGATCACCTCTGTTGTCTCCGTGTGGACTATCTGCCCGCCAGGACCCACCGTGCTGGAGGCCAGCGACACTGAGAGGATGAGAGAGGCAGAAGGTCAGGGCAGCCACGGTCAACATAACAGCCTGGCTCCAGACCACGGTCTGCTGGTGCTGGGGACACTGACCAAGGAAGAGGGAGGCACTGACAGTGCTGACACAAGTCATTTGACCCTGGCTAATAGTTGACAACAAAGACAGCAAGGCAAGCATGCATCCCCCTCCAACCCAGCCCGGCCCAAGACTGCTCTTACATGAGCTCTTGTGCTCCTTCTTCTTCTGCCTCCTCCTGAGCATGGTGGTGCGGGGGCTCATGGGGTGGGAGCTGCGAGGTAGCGTGTTGGAGTTCTGGCACGGGAATCCCTGCGCGTTCATGGTGGGAGACGAGAAGTTGGCAGCCACCAGAGCTGGGGAAACACAGAGCACGTTAGGGGCGTGCACGGGGGCTGCAGCAGTGGGGTCACCCACTAACAGAGCCATCAAACACCTCATGGCTTTGGAGCAGCTCCTCCTTTCCAGCTCCAGGGCTCAAGACCCAAGGAATGTTTGCTTCCCACAGTTTCACACAGTGCAATGTGCCCTCTTCCCTGTTGCTAGTGGAAGACAAGAAACCTGGGGCAGCACAGAGCCCACTCCTGACAAGAAGTGCATCTACAGATTTTGAAGCAGCCATAATCCTGCTGTTAGCAAACTGTATGGCACTAGGGTCTGAGCTGGATGTGTTGCTGTATCACATTCCTACACAATACCAGATACCCTTCCCTGTCCCACAGCAACTCGTTTTTGCTGTATGAAACCAGGCACAGGAACAGAGGGTTAGAGGATGGGTACATGGGTCTGCCCAGCACACTGCTCTTGTCCCAGACAAGACAGTTACCAGATCTGTGTGTGCTGGGCTGCAGATACTGATTTTGTACCTCAGCACTGGGCTGTGGAGGCAGAACCAGATGACTGAGGAGGAAACAAGCAACAAATCACACTATGGATCTGAATATTAAGGAAATGGAGGGGCACAACAAGAACGAGCACAGGCAGGATGAGGGCAATGCCATGCACTGAGGTTACATTTGCAGTAATCCTGTCCAGATGTCTGATTCCAAGTGGGTGTCTTGCAGTGTCCAGGGTGGTGGGTGTGACAGTAGTTGACACAGGGGTCCCAGCAGTGATGGTGGTCACTCTTCTGCACCTTGACTGATGGCATCCAGGGGAGCAGCAGTCACCACAGGCAGGAAGGAGAAAGAAGAGAAAGAAAAGGTAAGAACCATAACCCAGGAGATTGTAGAAAAGAGCTTTATACTGACTGAACAGGGACCCAACCACTGCATATCAAGCATCAGCAGCAAAAACACAACCCCACGTAACCTCATGACACTTGATGCAAAGTGGCAGAAATCCTCCCCTTTCCCACAAAAAACTCTGCATCCTGTGCCAGCAGCCTGACTCAGCCACGCTGGCAGCACACATGTCATTACCATTTGCAGTCTGTTGTGCGACATGCATAATCTCCATCCAGCCAGGAGATTCCTGCAGAGGCCATCAGCACCACGGAAGGCTCCTTGTGCTGTTTCCCACCTTGCTGCCACAGCTGCCCTCCCTGTGACACGGCTCAACACCTTCTCCTCATGCCGTGAGCACTTTGCTTGGCTTCAACATTTGGTTGTTTAGCAGCTGCTCTTGCACAGGAATGCATACATGGATGAAAGACAGGAGTAGCACAGAGCCACCTCCGGCTCACCACAACAAAAGGGGGTTTGTGCACCACTGCTTAAAGCCAATTAAGGAGGCCACCAGCACAGGAAATATGCCAACGCTGTGGCAAACAGCAAGTGAAAGCATAGCACCAACGTGGCAGAGACTGTTCAAGGGCGCAACACTGCTTTAACTTCAACCCTCACCACAGCACATGCTGGCAGAATCTGTTGCAGTGTGACATCCATCATTTGGAAACCCCCTGTCCAGGAACTGCAGCTTTGCAACACCAAGTCACAAAGCCACAAGTCTCTTCTGAAGTGTCTCAAACAGTCCCCAGGCACAGGTCCCTTGTCTGTTCTCACTGATGTTCCTTTTGCCCCTGGGCAGCACAGGGTCAGTTTGGTTTTCCTTGCCCAACACCAGGTGTTCTGTCCCAAATCTCTGCACCATGCTGCCTGGACCTCTTTTCCTCTGAGAGGAATTTCCGGCTAATAAGTAAGATTTCAAGCTTTTTTTATTCAGCTAAGCATGGAGAGCATCCCTCAGCAGAGGATCACCGCAGCCACACGTTATCCCAGGGTTCTTAATCTCACAGCCACTTTCACTGACAGGCCAGCACCTTCCCAGGATGACATTTCCTCCTGCCTCTGAGTCCTCTGAGCAGGCAGAAATGCCACCAGCACTGGCACTACCAGAACCTTTTGAGGGTGCAAACCTGGGAGAGGGACTTATTTTATTTACTGATCCCACCCAGATATCTCCTTTAAAGGTCATCTGTTAGTGCCTTGAACTGCAGAAATCTATTTTCTGTGTGTACATCACAGGCATTAAATAATTTAGGTCAGATTTTCCAGACAATATAGTGATTATATTTAGTCTTTGCCAAACATTTAGTGAGTTTAGCACTTATTCTATCAAGATTTTAAAAATACACTTCCAGCTCAGGGGTTTCTATTTTGTGTATTTTCAAAAGTAAATTTTGAGCCAGGCAGCTTTTGAAAACAAGAATCAAATTAGCTATATCTAGACAAAAAGAAAAGTTCTTAATAAAATTAAACACTTTGAACATCAGGGACAGAGCTTATGGCATATATACAAAATAATTTAATCCACTTATAACAACTAAAAACTCTCCCATTTGTCTATTAATTCTTGGCTTACATTGACAACAGAAAAAATGTGCCTTTGAAACTTAGCTGTCAGCAAATTGGGGGAGAGAAGGAGAATTCTGTGAAAACAGCCTTCCCCAGTCTTTCACACATCATCCCTGCCTGAGGAAACCCATCCATCCCAGCACTGCTCCTGGGCACCATGTGCCCCATTGATCCTGTGAGCAGGGCATAATCCTCCCACAAACTCTCCAAGTGCCTCCAGAACCACAGTGAAATACAACTCAGTTTGACAAATCCCATGCTTCAGCATTAGGCCATATTTTTGCATGGCCACTGATCCAGCTTCAGATCCCTCTCCACCTCCTCCAACCAGATGCTGATTGCACAAGAAGCCACTTAAAAAAAAAAAGTAAGGACAAACAGCATGCAGGCACAGGCTGAAAGGACTCAGTAATGCTGAATAGGGATGGATCTGCATCAAATCCTCTCCTCAGCTTCTTTCCCTGGGCTCCACTCTCTTGCCAACCACAAGGGTTTGTTTTTGCAGGGTCCATGTTTCCTCACTCTCTCTGTTTGCTAAACTCAGAAAGAGCAGCCTGTGGATTTGGCACAGTGTCCTTCCCTACGATCCCTCATGTGTTAAAGAGTTTAATCAAAAGTGTGAACAATTGTTACATCCTTAATTTTTCATACTCATGTGTTGCAATTATTGTCCCAAGTTTGTGTTCTGTATTTCTGCCACAGCAAACTGATCTGTGTATGAGGGTTTGGGTAAACAGGCTCTGATCACACTGACCTGTCCTTCCATGAGCCTCCTTCTCCTGAGCAGCTGCTCAGTGCACATATTCTCAAGAAGATTAGGAGCAGGGCACTAATGGAAGGAGGAGAATACTTCATTTTAACAGCCATTGAAAAAGGATTATAGCTTTCCATTTTTTCTTGGGCACAAAGGTCAAGTCATCCATTCACTTTGTTAAACTGCTCCAATTCTGCACAAATTGGACTGGACACATAAGGGATTTATTTCTAGACATGGAGATGTTTTTAGGTTTTAGGTTTCACTGTATCAGTTTAAGGAAGGCCGTAAGATACTGTCCTCCTTTCCCCAACCACCCTAGAAGAGAGTGGAAAGAGAAGCTGTGCCTTGGGGTACTCTGCATCAATATTATTAAAATGAATGTCCCTGAGAGATATGTGATTGAAAATGGTGGAAAAGGGGACTGGTACTGAACAGTCACACTCAAAATACCTGAATTACAAGACTGCCAGTACAGAGTGTAACAAAACTGCAGGCAAGAGCTGCAACAACTATACTAATACTGAGGCCATGGTCACAATGAAATTTATAGGAGAGCCTGAGACAGTTTCTCATGTGGAGGGAGAGGCAGTTTCTCATGTGGAGGGAGGAACTAAAGGTGGGCAACAAGAATGCTCATGAGGGTGAATTCCTAATGACATTTTACAGACACTCTGGGCTTGGTCTTACTGGAGCCAGAATTTACTTCCTTGGTACTTCTTTTGTATGGGTGGTGGAAACCAGCAGCTACAGATAGATTCACTCTACCCCTGGCTGCCCAGACATAGCTGCATCTCAAGCAGGCTGGTCTGAAAGATGAACACTTACACTCCAGCTTTGGAAGTCCATCAGGACCCCGTCCAGCTACTGAAAACATCCTTTACAAAGCCCTACCAGCCATCAGCAAAGAAAAACTGAGCTTGGAAATGTATTTGCCAGCAGCAAGGTTGTTTTCCTCCCTCTCGATTAAAGTCTCTTATCTGAGGCACTAAGGAAGTGGCTTGCACAGCACTCACCACTGCAAAACCCTGGGATTCCCATCTCCAATTTCCCTATTCAAGCACAGATGTTCAGATGTTGCCTCTTTTTCCTTTTCACATCCTTGAAGAACATCATCTAATCACATACATTTCATCAAAGCATCCATTTTTTTTTCCTCTACAGATGTCTCTCTTCGGAATTTGTTGCCAGCACTCAAAAGCAAGAAACCCTTGTAGGGACCTCAAGTGAGTTCTGAGGGTGACCAACAGTGTAGGCACAGAAGACACACCTGTTTCTGGAGGCTTCAAAGGCAGCCTGCTTTGGTGAACAGGTAATATCTCCAGCTTGACATTTTCAGATGTCGCAGCTAAAAGCTGAGTTGCCTCTAATAAGGAGCAGTGTTCTGTGCTTGTGCCATCAATGGAGAGAATGTGGTCACCAACGTGCAATGCACCACATCTGCAAAGGAAGCAGCAGGAGAGGCAATTACATACATGGCCAAAATCCACATCCTCACAGTTAGGAGAACACACACAAAGTTCAACTGCAAATTAGTGTTTAAATTCTTGTTAATTTCTTTTCATATATAATTTTTTTTTATTCCAATTTGAACCTCAGGTTCAAGCATTACCCAACTAGGATACCCAACTAGGATGGTTGTCATGGTTTGACACTGGCCCAACACCAGGCACCCACAACAGCCACTCACTCGCCCTCCCCTTCCACAGCTGGGCAGAGGAGAGAAAAAAAAAGTTAAGCAAAGGGTTTATGAGTTGAGATAAGGACTAGGAAAAAACACTCCAAGGCCAAAACAGGCTCAACTTCACGGTACAAATTGAGTTAACTACTAACAAAATCAGAGGAGAATAATGAGAAGTAAAATAAGCTCTTAAATCACTTTTTCTTCTCCCCAGTTCTTCCCTCCTTCCCACTGACAGCACAGGGAGACAGAGCTTGGGGGTTTTGGTCAGTTCATTACTGAGATTTTCTTCCACTGCTCAGGGAGAGGAGCCCTGTGAGCCCATGGGGTCCCTCCCACGGGAGACAATTCTCCATGAACTTCTCCAGCGTGGGTCCCGTCTCAGGGGCAGACAGTCCGACCACACCTGCTGCAATGTAAGCCCCTCCCACGGGCACACAGTCCTCCCAAAACTGCTGTGCTGGGGGTCAGTGTTCCACGGGGTGCAGCCCTCCAAGGACAGGCTGCTCCAGCCTGGGAGCAGAGCCCCTCTCTCCACTGGGTCCTCACTGGATCACAGCCTGGATCTCTGCATCCCCCTGGATCCCCATGGGCTGGGGGTGGATCTCTGCATCCCCCATGGATCCCCACGGGTTGGGGGTGGATCTCTGCACCCCTGTGGATCCCCATGGGCTGGGGGTGGATCTCTGCATCCCCCTGGATCCCCACGGGCTGTGGGTGGATCTCTGCATCCCCCTGGATCCCCAGGGGCTGCAGGGTCACAGCTGCTTCATCATGGTCTCACCACAGCCTACATATTTATAGCACAAACAGTGCTAAGAACATGTGGACATTAAGACTGGTTTATAACTAGCAAGGGGACAAAAAAGCAGCAGAGAAAGGAAAAGCAGAGAAAGGAAAAGCAGAGCTAGGAGCAGCCTGTTCAGATCTGTACCTGTCCACCACGCTGGCTGGCTTGATCTTGTCGATGACAATGACCTGCTTGTTCCGGTGCATGGCTGTGGTCAGTGTGATTCCCAGTGCAGACCCTGGAGTCTTTGCTATTTCAACTAGTAAAGGACCAGAAGCATTTGCTACAGTATCTGCAAAACAAGAGAGCACCTGAAGACACTTCTCATACAGCCTTTTCCATCTCTAAATGCAGGGGTTGGCCCACAGTGCTGACTTGCCATGTGAAGCAGCAAATCTTTAGCTTGGTCATCTATGGTCCATGTCACATGGTGACTTAACAAAGAAGAACACTCAAGAAGCAAAACTGCCTCTGCACAAGATCTACATGATAATGAAGAGTATTGCAACAAATTGCTCATGGAAAGAACTCTCCTCTCTCTTTACTTTGGATTAAATAGAAATATTGAGGAATAGATTGCTCAAAGGCTCTGTAACAGTCACATCAATGGTATTACAAGCACAAAAATGTAAGATCATAAGGACATCTCTGTTATTGGCTTTTCCCCAAACAAACCAAAAAGAAAAGGCACAAGAATACAAGATACCACTTTCTGAAGTACTCAGAAGTCTCGTGGCTGATGACAAGCCAGTCATCTCCTCTGTGCTTCAGCACCAGCTCCAAAATTCCACCTCAACTGCTTGTTTGAGCTCCTCCAGTGTGACAGTGGGAGCAGACACAGCACTACCAACCCCCTCCTCACAACAGCCTCCTCTCCCATCAGACAATACAGGGGCAGCTCAGCTTAATAGATGCTGTAAGTGAGACTATGAAACTCCTACGAAATTGCACCTGTTAGCATAAGCCTGCACCAAACCTATCCATCTCTTCTGAGGAAGGGGGAGGACAAAGCAAGCCTGTGTTTCTGGCTGATTAGACAGAAACTCCCTCCAGCTGTTACACACATTTGCTTCCAGATTACCTAAAGCCATCACAAAGAGGTGAGATTCACAAATGTGTTACCATCATCAGACAGCCAATAACTGGCACCCCCCATGTGTAGGTGACAGCCCCCTTGAAAGCACTCATGAAGACCCAGTCATCCACTTTGAAGGAAAGGCCAGCAGTGCCCTCCGAGCATCTGATGCCTCCTCAGCCTTTAATTATTCATAGTAAGGCTTTTCCCTTCCAAAGATATGCTCCACTAAAAATGCTGATGCTACTTGGCTCCAAACCTGATGCATGGCTCATTCTTGCTCTCTGATAAATGAGAGCATTAATGCAGATCTGGGAAGCTAAGCTGCAGCAAGGTCTTTTCTGAGATTTGTTGAAGATTCTGAGTCTCTGGAGACAGAAATTTACCTTGGAAATTCCCCTTGGGGATCAGCCAAGGGATGTTCAGGCTCTGGTCTACTCACAGTGCCATTTTTCACAGGGGAGAAGCAGGAGGAATGAGCCACAGTAAAGGTTATGCAGGCTTCACATAAAACACTGTTTATTCTCTGATGAAAAGGACCACTGGGGAGATCAGCAGGCCCCGGTAAAAAGCACAGTCCCAGTTTAATCAAAAGATACACAAAGCACCCAAGTAAAGCCTGCAGAAGGTGCACTTAAGCATTTGTCAGCACAGGAAGCACCAAGAGACTGAGGATCTCTTCCAACAGCAAACACCAGGAGTATGTCAGTCTTGCAGCCTGTGTATGTCCAGCACACATCCTCTGAAGAGGGACATGGATTTATATCCCTCCAGCTGAAGGGAAGAATATAAGGAAAATAAAAAGAGCTTTCCAGACCATCAGACCTTTCTTTGCAAGGAAAATACCTACTCCTGTCCAGTTTACCCAGCATCCAAACTTCTCAGCTTTGCCAGGTGCTTCCCAGGGAGGTCTCAGGATGATGGTGAGACAAAAGAGCCACAGGACCAGGGTTATTAACGAGATTTTAGGAAACCACAGTCCCACCTCCAGCCTACAGTCACTCCTCCTGCCACACACAGCATGGGCCACCTCGCTGTGGCTTTTAATTCTCATCTCCATCACAGACGAGAATTGCTCCAAATCCATTTTATAGAGACATTTATTGAGGAAATACCAGCCAAGCCTCTATTAATTATTCTAGGAGAAGATTTGCCTCAAATCAAAGGTCAGGAGTCAGCAATCCAGCAATATTTGTGAGGTGTGATTAACATGGAGCTATTACACCCAAGCTAATTTTAAAAGAAACACAGAAGGGACAGAGTAGGCTGTGCAATAACTTTACTGTAAGGAGTCAACCAGCATTGTTGCATTGGACCAGGAGGTGTTTCTGCAGGAGGACACAAAGGGCTGTGCAACACCTGCTCACACTTGCAGGGTACTCAGCAATATTGTGATGGGTACAAGGAAAACAGAGCCTGCTCCAGGTTCTCACTCACCCCAGTGCTGAAGATACAGAGAAGCTGATCACCCCACCACTCAAAACATGGGGTTGGGAGGTGTTTGCTAGATCTTTCTCTCAGCAGCTTCTTTTTGAGGAAGTACTGTGGGGGGTTTTCATTCTTGCACTAGGTATCTGAGCCTCACTTGGCTTTGCTCACCTCTCTAAGGAGGAATGGCTCTTGTAACCAGCCTGGAAAGTGCAATTGCTGGGGGAATAAACCAAGTGTAATGGTAGGGATGAATTCTTCCTGCTGTAATGCACTTTGGGAGAGAGGAGGGAATAGAAAATGAGAAGAGAAAGGGGAAAAAGGAAAGGGAGAGGGGAAAGGGGAAAGGGAAAAGGGGAAGGGGGAAGGAAAGGGAAAGGCACCTCCCTTGCAAATGCAAACAAAATAAAGCAAAGACTCCTAGAAGAACCAAACTAACTGGGGAGCTGCCCCCTTCCTGACACAGCCCAGCAGCTCTTGTCCCCTGCAGCTTTACAGGCACAGGGATTTGACTTCCTGGGCCCCTCTTCAGGCTCCAGCCCCTGCCACTGCTCAGCAGACACTGACAAATCACCCACTTGTGGGACACTACCAGCCCTCCACTTCGTCAGCAGGAGAGCTCCACAGGCTTAAAAAACTTCAGCCTAAAAAGTGAATGGTGGAGGGGCAGCCAGGGGAAGCGAGAGGAGGAAAAGGACACAGCAAACTGCTTTGCTCATCCATCATCTCTGGCAGAGACCTTCCCCCCTTCACGAGTCAACCCTAAAGGCTTGCAGCTCAGATCCTTGGTACACAGATTATTTACAAAGTAACTACTCAAATACTATTTTCTGGCTGGTCAGTTTATTTGAGGTGATTTTTTTTCTATTCTCTCCTGCTTTTTAAAATCCCCATAAGATAAAGTGCAGCTATGGGAAAGCATCTGTTCATTGCAAAGATCATCTGGCATCAGCTAAGGGCAGAGATTTTCCCAGTGTCCCAGGAGGGTCCATGCCCAGTTTACACTCCTTTTAAATGGAAATAGAAGATTATTTTAATTCCTTCAGTGGCCTTGAGAAATCTCAGCCAACCTGACAAAAAAGCTGCCATGGTCCCATCCTATGCCAGCCTCCGTGGTGAAATCCCAGCAGGCAGGGGATGCTCGGTGGCAGTGGCAGGCAGCTGCCACATCCCTCACACCAAGAGCAGGGCTGCTCCCCTGCAGATCATCCCCAGTGCACAATTTTGGCTGGAAAATCACATATACAGCTGGGGAATGCCATGATTCAACACTCCCCCTCAGCAACCCTGGTCTCTCACCAATGACAGATGCAGAAAAACAACCTTCCCTCCTCAAGGGTCAGCCCACACCACCCCAGCACATACAGCTTTAGCAGAGTGAGCACCATGTAAAAACCCCTATTTTCCTGAGGATGAACAGGACAAGCACCACTTCATTGTGGTGTCCCCAACCCCTTCACCAGGTTTTCCAAATGGGAATTAAAAGTCCTTCTTTGAGGCTGAAAATATCACCAGACCACTTTCAGCACCAGCTCTTGCCTTCCCTCATCATTTTCCAGGGGCTGTAATAGTTGTGAACTGGGGACGATGTACTCCTCTCCCACTGCAATTATTAGCTACTGCCTGGTCAAACAGTCTGCAGAGATTGTTGTAAGTTACATGTTCTGTATTATCTTGCCTTAAAGAAAGCAGGACAAATATATTCCTTTACAGGGTTGCAGAGAGCGTTCTCTAGGCAGAAATTATCTAAGAAAGAGGCAGATTTTACATTTTTGCGAAGTATCAGGATCTTGTCCACAGATTAGCAACACAAGATGGAGAGTCACTGCATAAAAGCCTGCTGTCCTTCTATGTTCACTCAACCCTCACAGTTTTAGGGGAGAGACTCACCTAAGAGAGTTTCTTCTCTTACTCAAGAAACACCAAATCACCTTCATGGCTATTCACCTTCAAGTCAGGTTTAAAACACGCAGCTTTCTGCAACATAGACACTGAGGTCTGCAAAAACAATAACCCCCCCAAAAGGCCCATTTCCCATGCACAATTAATTGTTTATTGTTGTTCAGACTTGACAGCTCCATACAAAATACCTCCTTACCTCCATTTTCCCCCCCTCTCTGAAGCAGCCTGCAAGGAGAGGAATGGACATCCCTTCTGCCCAGTTACCCCAAAAAAATCGTAGAAAGGAAGGAAACAGGTTTTGGGTAGTTTCTGTTTCCCATGGTTTAAGTGTTTCCTATTTATCATGAGCAGAGCCAGTTTCCAAAGAGCAGCTGCTCGTGTGGTGTGGCAGAGGCCAGGCAGTGTGCAGGCAACCACTGAGGCAGCAGCTTTTCCCTCCAGCTCTTCCATGGAGAACGTGTCTGTGTGGCACACACTGCCTGGCCCCTGGCAGCCACCCCCAGGGGAGAGCCACTATGTCCATGTGGAGCTTCTACCAAAAAGAAGGGGAAAGGTCGTGGTGAGGAGACTCAAGAGGAAGGAGAAAGCCCTCAGGGCTGTCACAAGGAGCTCCCTTATCCTGGTGCACATGGCATGACTGAATCCTGGTCTTCTCAGCTCTCTTTCCTCATAGGTAACACGGCATCAAACTCTCTCAGCTTCAGATTCTTTTTATTTTCCTCTACACTGACAAATCAGAAAAGAACCTGATATCACAGACTCCTATTCCTCACTGTATCCTAGGCTCAGGCATGTTGGACTGGTTTGTGAGATTTGTGGAAAAGACTCCAACCTAGTCCAGCTCATGGCTCCAGGGAGGCAGAAACCCCTCTGGAGAAACATCACTACACAGCTCAACAAGCTTCCAGAACCAGCACAGCTTCAAATTCTGTGGTAACCTTAAACTTATTAACAACGCTCCCTGCAGTAACAGCTGTGTGTCACAAAGGCAGCTCAAAACGACTTTACAGCAGCTAATAATAAACCCTTTCCCAGGGCTTGAAACTTAAAATCAAATGAAAAAAAAAAAAAACAAAAAAAAAAAAAAAAAAAAAAAAAAAAAAAAAAACCAAAAACAAACCAAAAAAACCAACAACCACCACCAACCCACCAAACCCTCAAACCGTGTAAAATGCTTTTTAGAAATACTCATCCTCTGCCCTCCAGTAAATTCTGTCTTATTTGGGGTCAAGCATTTGATCACCCCTCATTTATTTCAGAAGCAGATCTGAAGTAACATTTCTAAGAAAAGGAATAGCTCCAGAATTAAGCAGGGTCAAAATTCAGAACCAAGGCCACAGCGAGTCTGTGCCTGCATGCAGCTCACTCCTGTGCACACGTTTAATAGTGCTATTTGCAGTGCTGGCAGAGCACTCCAGCCCTCTTTAGCTCTGACTTCTCCTGTGCCCTCTCTGGCTACATTAGAAAATCCCCTTTTGCCCTCTCCTCTAAAGCCACTCGTCATTCCTATCAAGACACATCACTGGATAAGGGCATTTCAAATGCATTTAACAAAGCCAGCTTTGAACTCTACCCCCTACATCCATGCTGGCAGCACATTGCTCAGCAATTTTTCCACAGAAACTGAGTATCTCAATTACTGTCTCCAGTCTCACATACTTTCCAGGCAGTCAGAGAAAAAAGTGCCATCACAACCATTTTGTCCTTACCCATGATGGTCACATCATACTCGATCTGGAAAAGTGCCTCCTGGCTGCACTGCCGCAGGATGTTGAGGGCATCAGCGTGGGTCATGCTGTGCAGAGGAATCCCATCCACACTCAGCAGCCTGTCCCCAATTTTCAAGGACCCTTCCCTGTAAGAAGCCAAAGGCAATTCTCTTCTTTATGTATATACATTTCTTTATATTTAGATAAATAATCTATATATCTTTATATAAATATCTATATTTATACAGATAAATTTGCTATACATCTATGTTATCTATATGTAAATACATAAGCATATATATGTGTATATATGTGTATATATGCACACACATACATGTGTATACACACACATACACTAAGAAGTCAATTACTCTCATCCTGCACGATGGAAGAACATTCCTTGGACAATAGTCTGAGTTATTTATAGTACCAGGCCCATCATATTAAATTATCAGCATGAGAATAGATAGACTGACTTCTGCTTTCCAACACAGCATCAGCGATTCAGCTGCACAGGGCTAATGAAGGGACTGCCTCTGCAAGAGCAGTTTCTGCCTTTAACTGCAACATCTGCACTGGGCCAGCCTGGGAGCACCGTGGCCACCTCCCCACCCAGCACAGAGCCACATCAGCGCTGGCATTCCACACCAGCAGCATGAGAAGCCTCAGGGAGGCACCAGAAGGACAGGGAGGGGACACATTCAGGAGAGCAGGGACAGCTGCTGGTCTGTCCCGGGAAGGCAGGAGGTGTGACACGAGCAGTACCTGTCTGCAGGGCCACCTGGCCTCACGTAGGTGAGCACCAGCGGCCTGGACTTGTGCCAGTCTTCATGGGCTCCCCCTGTAACCAAACCAGGAAAGCCGTAAGTCACTGGAGGTTTGAAAGTCTGAGTGAGAGCGCTGAGAAAGAGACATTTATCACATAACAGCTGACACAGCCTGCCAGCAAAATGACTGCCCTACATTAGGCAGCCAGCAGTCCTTAGAGGCAGCAGGGGATCCTCTCCAGGACATGCTTTGTCTGCTTAGCTGAGGCTTTTGAGGTTTTTTTTCATTCACCTTCTTACTTTTCCCACTTTCCACCTCTGCTTATGCTTTTCACTGGAGAAGCTACTAACCTCTCAGCACAAAGCCAAAGCTGTTGCCTTCCTTGTAGAGGGACACTTCAATGGTCTTGGGAATAATGCCAGCACTGCTTTCTGGCACTAAAAGGAAGAGAGAAAGACCCAGTTACCCCAGACAAACCTTTTCCAACCACAGTGCAAAATAGTATCAAAACTCATCCAAACAACATTGAAATTTAAGTCCAGCCCAAAACCTGTATTTTATTTTCCCTGCTTGGAAGCAAAAAGAGCCCAACCCGGACACGTGAACCTTATCAGACCCAACTATCAGGTTTTAGGATGATTTCACCAGCTCAGTGTTGTGCATCTCCCCTCAAATTTGTCTTGGTTAATACCCTGACATTCAAGTAAAACCATCTCGTTTATCAACTGGCTTTAATGCATTCAGCTTTTCTCAAAAGCTTCTGCCACAGATAGAAACTTATTAAAAAAACCCAGCAGTAGCATAAGGAATCAAGTCACCAGCTGACCTTAAAGAAAATGAAAATCCCAAATCCTCAATGCACAAAGTTGATTTTTTTCCCTTACCTCTCATATTTTGGATTTTAAAAAAGATTAAGTGAATCCTTTAAACTGATCCTAGGGGCAATTCAGTATTTTTATGTTAAATACACAGCACTATTTGTACAAAATACAAAATGTACAAAGTAAAGAGAAAAAGAAAGAAATTGTTTCCATCTCTTGATGTCCGCTACTATTTAATGATTTATTGTACTACTGCAGTGAATATGGGACAATTTCCCAGTCTTTGCCACCCAGAACTGCGCATGATATTTCAGCCTGGTCCACTCTGAAAATTCCTAATTTTCAAATTAAGTGCCATGAATGGCCACAAGAATAATCAGGGAAAAAAGACCAAGAAATTGACTTGAAGATGAAGGGTGCCCCAGGCACATCCTCACTGCCATTTCCCTGGGCTCAGGAGGGAAGTTTTGAAGCAAATCTCCCCACTGTCCTCACTGACCACACTCATCCTCACTCTCAAGCACCCTGGGGGCTTGCAACCTGCAGCCAAATTAGGCTTAGCCCAGCCCTTAAACTAACCCAAAAGGCATACAATGGAGGCACGGTACTGCCTGCAGGCAGACAGCCCTGGGGACCGGCTATAGTGAGGCCAAATAAACCTCCAAACACTGTCCCCACTTTGCTACCACTGCTGTGCACAGACAGCTAACAGGGACACAGCCTAGAGATACTCCAGAAGGGAGTGCTCAGGGCACAGAAAGGCTCCCAGCCAAGGGGTGATACTCAAATACCACGAAAAGGGTATAGAGTATCCACAAATGAGTTCAGAAGCCATCCAATTTCTGTCCTAAGCACTGAAGTATGAAGTGCTGCAACAGCCTCTCATAAGATCAGTGGGAGCTGGGAAACTTAAGCCAGTGTTAACACGGGGTTTGGTTTATTTATGAAAGAGATGATACAACACACTAGCCTGAAAACTTGGACTTGTAAGACCTGTTTCAAAGCAGGAAATTACGATGTGGGGATAAAGAGTCAAACCCACAAGCACAAGCTATTGAATTGCTCTGTAGTTCTGCTCTTTGCCCAGGAAAAGTCAGAGAGAGAGGGGCGAGCAGACACAGCAATAACAAACTCCCACAGCAGATAAAAGCCCACAATGAATTGGAATCAGGCAATAATTGACAATTCCTGTATTTTGCAGTGCTTCTTTGTTTGGACCATTCCAGCCCAAATAATTTCACTGGGCACGAGTCACCGTCTCAGTGTGCTCTTCCTGCTCATCTAAAGCTGAGGACATCTCACATTGCTGCTATTGACTGAGCTGGCACCACTCCTTGGCTGGTAAGTACGGTTGATCAGATTCCTGATAAGGAATATCACAGAGAATAAGGAATACCACGGAGAAAGGTTAAGAGTGGTCATCTCTAGGAAGCATGAGAACATGGAAGATTTGAGCCACAGCTGGCTGTACCAGAGGTGTATGCAAAAGCTCACTAAAATTTACAGCAGAAGAGAGGGGAATGATGGCTACAGATTCATCTATTCCAGATTAGATTTTACTCTTTTGGGCTTTACACAGTCATTTCTATATTCAATACTTTTCATCTAAAGGCAGCAGCTACAGTAAAGCTCTGAAATGTAAAATATCTTCCTATCTGGGGCAAAATGTTAGATTCCCTTTGTTTTGTTTTTCCTGTCATTTTATTTTTAGTTGTTCTATTTCTTCTGCCCAATCATTGTCTGATTGATCTGGGTAAATGAATAATAACTGGGGAGATTGTATTCACAATGGAAAGACTGTGATGAGAAACTGTATCGAGGAATTTGTTTTAACCAGAAACATCAATCATCAAAACAAATGCTGGCAAGAGCATATAGTCTCCCATGACAGGACACAAGCCCTTTAGCTGGGTTTGCCATCTTCTGCCAGGGCCCCTTAACTGGAAAGCAGATTGCTTCAGTTTCTCTACTAAAAACACATAACACTTCAAAGAATCCTGAGGACTAACAGCACTTGCCACACTTCAGAAAAGGGCATCTGGTAATACACGTTTAAGACTGAATTAAACCTCCCATAGCCACACTCCAAATGGGAAAAAGAGAAGCTGAAGCAGCATCAGGAGGCAGGTTGGCCTGTGCTGTCAAGTCACTCCGAGGCAAGACAGACCTAATCAGCCATCCCCTTCCAGTGTGCATGAACAGGCACCCACTGTGCTGGAAAAAGTGCTCTGCTCCAACTGCACACAGCTCAGCAGCCCCCACCGCCCGTGTGAGCACATGAAGGCAACGGCAAAACGCCCCTGGACACTGCCTTGGCCACGGCAGCTCTGCACGAGCAAGCCCATCTGCACCCCAGGACAAAAAGCAGCCAAGAAGAGAGAGCAGTGCTGTCCAAGAGGCACCCACCAGCTGGAGGGAGCTCGTACTCTACTTCCAGCACCACCCTCTCGCCCACGTTCTTCAGCAGGCTGATGATCTCGTCATGCCGCAGCTTGGTCAGGTTAATGCCATTCACAGACTTGATGTAATCCCCCACGTTCAGCTGGTCACTCCTGCAAAGAAATAAAATTAAAAGCACTGGTAGCACAAAGTCTCCAGCTGGCTGATAACTGTAGAACTTTCTGAACAAGCCAGCAATGCTGGACTGATCTCTGCTGTCTGATTGCATGTGTCTGCTATCAGAGGGAAGTGCTGAAATTGAAGCCGTCTATCCTTCCTGGTGGCAAGTGTTCACATCTGTACATACAGCAACAATGGCAGTGTACATGTTCACAACCTCTCTGCTCTTACTCAGTTCCCATTCATGTAGAGCAATCAGTCAAAGAAAAGCACACCAAGAGCTGTTTGAAAAAAAAAATCCAGCAGAGAAAGAGAAAACATCTCTCCTTTTGCCTGTTTTCTGCATAATTGTTCAATTACTCTTTCCTTTTTTCCTGCTTCTTGGAGCCTTTCTTTGCCTATTCCTTTTCTGGGCCAATAATGTTACTTATACACTCAGTATTCAGAACAGGTACAATATTAAACCACTTAGCCTGATCAAGATGTATTTTATACATGCAGCTCTCCTGACAAGGCTCCCTAATTTCACAGAATCCCAAATATTCCTACACAAAATCTCAGAGCATAATTACACAGAGCATAGGAAATAACTAAAAATAGAAGATGTTCTACTTCCTGAACCAACAACTTTGCATTCTGGGGCACTTGAAAAAAGCGTCCTGGGTGCCAACTACTTTAATTATAACTCTATTCATTCAGTAGCTGGAACATGCAACTATTCCTATCCATTCCTGCTGTGCTCTCTGCACCCCATTTCCATTTCTCACCTTGCAGCTAGTCCTCCTGGCCTCAGATTGGAGACTCTTGGCTTTCCATCTTTGTCTGTGCCACCTGAAATGGTTAAACCAAGGGTGCTTCCTTCTTTCTTAATCAGCTCCACGATTGTGACCCCTCTGAACTCCTCTGAAAGATTGGGAATAAAGACGAACAACTCAGTGGAAGGCACATTCCTCTCAATCACAAGGACACCCTTTTCCTGCAGGTGGTGGGAAATTGGACCTGGGATGACTTGAACAACTAGCATGAAGAAAAAACTTCTGTTTATTTGAAGTTGTAAAACAGGAATGTGTCCTGGTAGACCCACAGCAATGTTTGCATACAGGTCTGGCAGGCAGGGCAATGGAAGACAAGGCAGAGGAATAAGGGCTTATGAGAGAGTAAAAACCTAGTGTTTCATGGTGCTGGAGGCAGTATAAAAATTTAAATCAGGGTGATGGGAGTTCAGCAATGGTCCAGGGAGACCCCCTCAGGAACTATGTCTGATATAGAGCAGGGAGGACATTAACAGGAGGATGCTCCTGTACCCAAGTCCAGGAGATGTGGACCTGTAGTAGCTGTCTGGATGGACTGAACAGGGTGGATCTTAAAATACTGTGATTTAAAAATCTATCATGAGACACCAATATAGCTGGGAGATGGAAAACACAGTGTGAAGAGGGGTGAGATCCTGCCATCATCAGGGGCAGAGGGGAAGGCACGACCTTCATTCATTCACAGCAGTTTGCTCACCCAAATTATTCCAGCTTTTGGATTTGGCACGGAAAGGGCAGCAAGTGAGCAGGAGAGTCAGTCCAGTTTCCTTGGTCCAAGGAAAAGATCAAGAGCTCCAAAGACTTGGCAAAAGGCAGCTCTTCAGTACTGCACACAACAGACCTCACACTGCTCAAAAGGGGACTAGCCCTGAGGCAAACAGGACAATGTCCACACCTTGTCAGAGTCTCCTCTCAGAAGCTTTTACACAATTTGTCTATAGCATTATCCATCCACTTCCACTATCTCAGTGTACTGAAATCTTCCATGATTTTACAGGAGGAAACCAGTCACCCTCACACAGGGTGCCTTTCTCCAAGGCTGTGCAGGAGAAAGTGGTGATGGGCACTGGCAGCTGTAACAAACAGCAGCCCCACAGATGTGGACAAAATCCCCATGTTGCAAATGGCCCAGGTGCTTGTTTGCACAGTAAAACCTTACCAGGCTTAAATGAGATGATCTGTTTGGAGAGGGAACATTTGAAACCTCTTGCATACTGACTTCCAGAGCAAGGCAGGGCCCCTTAAATAGCATATTAACACAGAAGATCCATGCTGGTGCAGGGCCTCCTCCACCCATCAAAAACATAGGGTCATTTGGCACTGTGGTGTCTCATCACCAGCACTTTGCTCCTGTTCAAAGCCATCAGGAACCAAAAAAGTCCTGCCATGCACTACCTGTTTTGTAAAGCATTTCCAAGAATAATCTGTGCACTTGATTAATGTGAGTAGGGAACCTCTTTGCAATCTAACTCCAGTCTGGCAGGCGTTTAGGCACTGCTGGGCACCCATTTAATGCGGCACTGGCAGCTCCTTGTAAAAATGTCAGGTCCATAATACTTCTGCTCTTTAAACTCAGTTTTGATCCTTTGCCAACTGCAGTAAGTTAATTTTCAATTCACCAACCCAGGAGCCATGGGGATGCCAGAAACTTGGGGAGGCTCTCCACCGTGCTGGAAAGAACAACATCCGGCAGCATCCTGCAAATTTCCTCTCAACTACAGACATGACTGATCAACACAGATGGTGACACAGGGGAGATTATTAGCTTTTCAACAGGGTTTAATTTTGGTCTTTGGTAAGTGTTTAAAATGAGGACTCCCAGAGTGCAATTACCCATTGTTATGGGTTCAAGGAGAAATCGCTGCTCCAAAAAAGGCAAGTCCCTGAGATCAACCAATCAAGGTCAGTGATAAGGAATTTTGATCCATGTCTCTATAAATCTACTGCAACTGTCATAAACCCACACAGTGTAAAAGTGAGCTGGTTAAGGAGGATCTGGTCCTTCAAGGCATAGTCTTTAAGCACCATATATGAGCAGTCTTGGATTTCTTCTACTGGCATATATGATTGGATTTTGCATCCCAGGGCAGAAAGAGCACACCTGAATTTTTCTCTCCCCATTGAGATGCCTTAAGCTGGGGCTGTTGGATGCACAGGCTCTTGTGAGCCTCTCCCCATCAGGGCTGCACTGTGGTGGTAATGTGATGCAGAATACCCTCTGGAAGAAGTGCTTTGATGAAGCAATAGCAAAAGGGCCCCACTTCCTTCCCATTACTCAGAACACACTAAACCAACCCTGTAACTGGGTCATTGGCAGCCAGAAGTTGAAATCAAGCCCCTGGCTTTCCTAAGGAAGGAGATGAGTCGTCCACGGCAGCCCATCCAGACCTGCTGGAGTGCTGCTGGCACATGAAGCCCAGGACCAACAGAGGAAAATGAACTACCACTTCTCCACCTCCTCCTCAGCTCTCAGGGTGTTTCTGCATGGGAAGGTTTATCTCACAAAAAATTTGCTGTGACTGACTAAATATCAAAACAAACTTAGTCAGATGTGGGAAATTTGAAGCTTGCCAGACACTGCCAGTCTCTCTCTCTGCTTGACGAGCTCAGCTATGGCAGTATTTCTTCCCTCTCTGCTTTGCTGCTGTTTTCTTCTTTGTGAGTGTCAGTCCAGTGCAGAAATAAGGCCTTTCCCAGCTCCCTGTCACTACTGTGAACAGCTCCACACGAGACAGAGATTGTACCTGTAATACACCACTCACTGAGACCAGTTACCACTATCCATTTCTGTCCTCCAGCAAAAGCCTTGCTGATAGATGCACCAAAATCAGTGTTTTGAGGGAATTCACCCATTTTAGGGGTATCCAAGTAAAGTGTAAGGGGTGTCCCAATGTTTTGGAGCAGGAGTTAATCCCCTCCTTTACCTGGGATGCTTTGCCTTCTGGAGACCAGGGCTGTGTCCATCCCACCAGAGTCCTTGCTCCCCTTTGAGTAAGGGCCATCATCTGTGAGCAGAGCAAACACAGAAGCTGAAATTAGTACCAAAAACCACAAGCAACTGAACCAGAGCACTTTAAGACGTTGTTTTGCTGACACCAAAATTGGAATCACATCTGTATCACAGACTGCAGGCAAGAAAAAACCATTACCAGCCCTAGCTTTGCGCTGCACCATGTGGGCTCTCACCTTGTAGAGAGGGAAACAAGAGGGCAGTAACATTATCTGATTTATTCTTCTCGGAGCTAATCTGCTAGGAAAGAACAAAATTCCCTTACTCCTGTAATTATGTGGAACAGCTGAGGATAGAGAAAGCTGGGGCATTAGTCTCACAAGTTTCAAGCTTGTCATTATGCTTGTGAAGAAACTTACGGTCTTCGGAAATGCAGTTATACATCAAGACACTAACAGGGCACTAAATCACTATACTTGAGTGAAATTGCCTATTCTTATAGATTCCATTATTTCAGAGTCACATTTTTCTGCTGCTGTTCCAGCCTCTGTACAATATAGAGAGCACCTTCTTTTAAGTGATTAAAAGAAAAAAAAACAGGGTGAAGAGAGCATAGCATTATACACTGTAAATACACTGTCCAGCATAAGCTGAAATTTAAAGCTTCTAAATATCTTTGTATTCTCCTATTGAATGACTGCTATGTAGTTATCAGAGCTTGTCTGCAGAAAAGGCAGCATACTTCTACATATCTCATTTTCATCCATCTAAATTGTCTATTTTTGTGGCATTTCCTAAAAAGCTGGCACTTTTCCAATCAATAATTTCCAGTAACCATGTAGTACCAAATAACTCCCATTCTCAGTGACCACATTCTTGAATTTTTCAGTAGCTGCAAAGTATACATGATAGTATAAATATAGGTTACTGAAAACCTCATCGATTAAGGTCCACAGCCCTTAAGTTAGTTACATTTAAGTTACAAAGAAGTTTTTGTCCCGCTCCATAAAAAGTGAACAAAAATTCTAGTTCAGCTTCATTCAAGTCAAGAATCTGTACAGAGAGGACTCAATCCCAATGTTCAGTTTGCTAGCAGCGTGCTTTCCCCATAAACAGGAAAAAGATGGTTAGTCTCTCTCAGCAGGAGGTTTTTCCAAACATCCTGGTTTATCCTCTCTCTGTCACCTCATCCCTGGCAGAACTAGAGAGTCAGATTGCAGGTTTGGGAGTACAAAGGCAAGTGGCAATTCCCAGGGGAGCCTCAGGACAATGCCAATCCAACCACTCCTTGCCCACATTCCCCACAGCTACAACCACCCTTTCTTTCTTTCTTTCCCAAATGCAACAGCACATTGGAAGAGGAACCCTAAAGTTCAGGAAACTCAGCACTCGGTTTCTTTTTTCAACACTGGAGGTAATTGTGCAAAAGGCACCTGCAACATACCCTGGGCCACCCAGAGCTGGAGTTTCTCACTGGCGCTGGAGCTCCAGCGTTGCCTTTGGTGCCACAGCCACTGGGGATAGCGAGGACCACCCCAGCATGCAGCTGCCTTCCCATGGGAGCACTGCTACCAGCTCTGCCCCCAGGTAACGTGCTCAAGGCAGTGACATTCTGCTGTGGATGGGATCCCTGCATTCCTGGGAAACCACGCAAGATGGTTCAACGCCAGCTCCATCATCTGCTGGCAAACTGAAGCACAGAACCATCTGTTTCATATAAACACTCCGCCCTGCACCAGCCAGCCAGCAGCACCCTTCTGGGCTTCACTTCCCCATCACAACCCCAATCAGCAGTGATAGGAAGCCCCAGCTCGCTCCTGGTTGCCCTCCCTACCCCAACAGCTGTTGGCAAACATGCCTTGGCTTCCCTTTGAGCAAGAAACCAGGTTGCCTGTGCATTAACAACAGCTTCCAGCAGCAGCCAAGTGGCCAAGAGCAGTGACCCGAGCTACAGGACCTGTCTGCAATTATCAACATCCCCACCTGTCCCATCCCACTGCTCCTGACAGCCAGCAAATAATCAGCACCACAGCTCTCCTTCTCCTATAGCTCCTTCCTTCCAAACTCAGTTGAATATGTGAAAAATGTTTGGGTTTTTCCCCTCCTTATCTGGCTAAAATGTTTGAACAGGAAGGGAGGCTGTCACACACTGCCTGCTGAAATGGGACCTGGCATTTGCTTGTAGGAGCATCCCCATCATGTGCACAGCTCTTTGCTCATTTGCAGCCAATTTCCTGCTCTGCCCCTCAAGCTGGTAAAAATTGAGTCACTTTTTAATCAACTTTTTTGGGTTTTTGTGCAAGGGGTACATTTAAAAAAAAAAAAAAAAAAGAGGAACTCCTTCTTTTTGTGCTCCCAGTTATTTCTTCTGCCTAGCATGGCACCCATTTGGAGGTGAGGCTGGTAACCACTGATTGCTCAGTCAGCCAAAACTGCAGCACGAACCCAAGCACTAAAAATCCATTAACCTTTCTTCTTAAAATTGGGAAAATAACTCTTTTGTAATCCTGCACAGGTTCTTTTTGCAAGCAATCCGTGCTGGAGCTATTAGAGTTGTATTTATCAAGCTTTTTCTCTCACACCAAGAGGGCCAGAAATTTTTTTAAAAATGATTGTGCAATTGATGGTTTTCAAGCAGCAATGGTAATGCTGGCTCTAGACCTTTCAGAAAAGCTCACAAGTACATAAGACCCTCAATAAAACTGACATTGCAACACTTTCCATATATTGATCCCATGGGAATCTGTGGCAACATACAAAGTTCCTGTAAGTCTTTGACAATAGTTTTTACTATTTACATGCCTTACTATTTACCTAACACCAGAGAGAGAACTCCCAAGTCCCTACACCTTCACACAGAGCTTTGAGCTCTCCTCCCCTGCAGAAGCAGTGCAGAACAGTGATACACATCAGTGTACTGCATACAATGACAGTAAATAAGAGATAATCCCCATCTCATTCCTTCAAAAAAACAAACTGGACAGACGAAGGAGCAGGAAAAACCTCCATGTTTTAACTGGGGGCCAGGAATAAAGGAAGGTCTGGGCAGACTCCATTAGCCCTGCAAGCTCAGGCACCAGGATCTCCTGACGTCAGTCAGCTGCCAAGCCAAACGGTTAGAGTGGAGGAAAAGAGGCTTCCTTGGAAAAAGCACTGATTTAGGAGTTCATTATCCCTGCCTGTGGGGGGGAAAAGGAAGGTTTGGGGTTTTTTCATTTAGAAGAGTTATTAGTCTCTGTTATTAGCAGAGATCACCTCTTAATGAAAATGAGCATTGGCTAAATCAGATTCTCTGACAATTAGGCTGCTGTCTGCAAGTTGTTCAGATTCCTGGATCACTTTAAGACAGTTCCTGCAGAGAAAGTGCATTAATCTTATGGGAAGACTGAGAGGTAAAACCTCCCATTTGTTTAATGGAAAAAAGACAGTTGGAGACAGCTATTTTGCTACAGGGTAATTGCATTCCTTGTTTAGAGAAATGAATACCAAACCAGCATTAAGAACCAAAAGCTGTTCATGCTAAGGAAGCATGTATATTTTTTTTGTTGTTAGAATAAAAGCATGAGACTGGAAGCAGAAATCCAAACGACTAAAACTAATTGTGATTTGATCAATTTTGAGGAGAGTTATTTCTGGAAGTCAAGGGAGGCATTTATCTGTAGTCAGGCAAAGAGCAGCCAGGGGTACACGAGCATGGGTCAGGCAGCTCGTGATGATTCAAACTGTGGCTCTGGGAGCAAACCTCCAATGCATGGGATTTTAAAGATCTCTGAGTGCCTCAAGATGCAGACACTTACTTCAAAAACAGACTATAATCATCTAGCTGCCTCTTTAGGCATCTCATCACCTTTAAAAAGTTGATATATTACCAGAATTAGTGGAGGGGAAAGTGATATATCCATGCACACCCATTCTGAATCTCAAATTGGTTTTTAGCTCCCACATGACACAGCCCCCACTACAGCCTGGCCAGGGGCTGGACCATCATCAGAGGAGGACAGCAACACAATCCTTCCCACTCTGCCCAGGCTGGCACTCCACATGGCAGCACACTCAGGGGCATCTCATGCACCAGGGATGGATTTGGGCTTGATTGCAAGGCTGTAGCCAGCTGTCCCTCCAGCACAGCTCCTGGGGGCAGTTTGGGTTATTTCAGCAGCACCACAGCAGGTTGGGGACAGCAGCACAGCAGTGGCCTCCCATCTTCAAAGCACTTAGCCTTTACCATGGGAGACAAGTAGATCCAGAGAGCCCAGGAGAGGAAAATAAAAAGCCCGTTGAATACTGTTAGAAATAAACTGCATGATTGCCTGAAACTACTCAATTACGAAGTTCACTGCAGAGCAAGAGCTCCTCCCACGTGTCTGCTTCCAACAAGGGGCTGTTTGCATGAAGGATCCCACCTTCCCCAAGCCTTCCTCAGCAGGTGGACTGAATTTTCTTCTGCCCATCTAAATCCACAGCTCCTCAGACCCTTGGAAAATCTGTACATGAGTTTACTATAACCAGTACAGCCGCTCAGTTCTTTTCCCATCACTAGAAATACAGTGCTTTGGCTCTTTATCATTAAACTTAAAGAAAATAAATAAATAGAAGCCCAAGAAACGGATGAAACACATCTATCAGTGATCTCTTGACTGCTTTTCCTGGAATACTGAAAAAGTTCAGCTAAAGCATAATCCTGCTCTACATTAAACTAATCCAAGCATACAGCAACAAATACACTAAATCCACAGACAAGACAGTCCATGCTCCTGTGCTTTAAACAAGAAAACAGAAAGTCACTTTTTCTTTAGGATTCTGCAGCACAATTTCATTTTCATCACACTGATTTTAACTTGCTGCATCAAAAGGAAAAAAAGAAAAAAAAAATCCAAGCCCCAGCCCAAGGGGGTCCAGTGTTTCCTCACTTTTTATTCTCCAGAAGGTGGGGTGGGCTTTTGAAAGAATATCAGTGAAAAACCAGTGCCCACCACAGCTCTGTCCCTTCCCTCAGCCCAGGGCACCTTCTATGTGACTCTTACAGCACTAATCCAAAGTCAAGCAGCACTCTGA